ATTCCAGCTAAAGCGGGTCACGTAAAGATATAGATCTCTCTAAATGCAGAAGTCCGCGATGATTTATGTTTACTCTTCGCAGGGGACAAAATTGCGCCGGATTATCCGGTAGCAGAATATAGTGGCATCCTTGACCTATACCGCAACACGTATCTTCGATCACGCTTGATTCTGCGCGGACGGAACGGAAATAATCGGTTTATTTGGATCGCGGTGCGTAGCAGTTGCCTTTTTCCGTCACCAAACCACTGTTTACGACCCGTGCTGCATTATTCATACGATCAAACGCTGCGACGGAGACCATTAATCAACCGTGAGCACTGATTATTGTTGGTTCGATTCGTACCGGAAATTCCACTTCGCTTCGAAGAGCTCACGATGGACATTGATAGAGGAGGGAATGCAGTTGAAGAAAGTCATTAATGGCACTGTTGGCCGAATCTCCGGGAAGTTTTGGCGCAGACGCGTGTGAAAAATCAGAGTTCGAATTTTCTGGAAAATTGTTCGCTAATGCTGCTATGGAAGTTATTTATGAACGACGAATAACTTTTTTATTCGCAATGAATGGACGAATCAAATAACCATGTCATACGAAGTTTATTTTTTTTTTCAATGTTTATGGAGTTCCTCCATTAATACTAGAACTACCGAACCCAGAGATGAGCAAATTCATTATCTAGATAAAAAGTTTCGAATAACAAATAAAAAATAAAAAAGAACTTCTAAAAAAGAATTGATTAAACCTGGAAATTTTGTATTTTATAATAAAATAATACTTTTTCTTGAATGAGTAAACACTTTGCAAACAATTATATAATCCTAGCAATTGTTTAAAGGTTAGTTTCATAAATCTAGATAATACTGCTTTTCATTATGAATTATTCGAATAAAATTGTGCCTAACTCTGTACCGCACACGTCGAAATCTATGCTGACTTTTAATCTATTATATGCTTCATATTATACTGAATTAATGTATCATACAGTACTGTTTAATACAAATTCAGAGTTTGTAGATCTAGTGTCAACAGTTGAAACGCTATTTCGACGATAGCTACCCTTACCTCATGGCCCTCATCATGATTCTGTCACCCGTAAATGTAGATCAACAGTGCCAAGTAACCTTCAGACTTCTCTGTCGCTGGCGAACGACGAAAACAGAATAAAACAGGGTCTGAATAATACCACAGATACATATTCCTGACTAACAAAAAATTTTTCTTCGAATTATATCGCTGTTTATTGTCCACGAATAAACTCGGAGATTTTTTAAGAAAATTTCCCCAACTCTGTAGGGACCACAAATACGACCAAATGAATTGCGTGCCATTTCATATAATAGAGCTTATGTTAATTCGCCCTCTACAAGAATTACTTATGTATATGCAACACGCTGCGGCGGACTAGTTAATTCCCAGTACGTTTAGGAATGCACGCGTGCTGCCTCCATCCGCGTGAATGTATGAAGTGAGCGAACGACAGGCGGAACCGGTGTTTCACGACGGTGCGAATGGTAAATAGTAGAAACGACACGGAATTTTAACGGCGACACGCGGAACACGACAATCCCCCACCCCCTTCATAGAAACAACCTTGTTACCTTCACGCTGTTCTCCTTCGCAATTGAAAAATTCAAAAAAGAAATGATCATAATCACATAAAGTAACATTTTCAGTATCTGAGAAACAAATTTTTCGCCTCAATATATACGATCAAAAATGTAATATTCTTCTTTTTTATAGTTTCTGAATCTTTCCTAGGTCATTAAACGTTCATAGATTTTATGAAAGGAAAATTTGATTTTACCGTCCAGTTTTAATGCATCGAGTTGGACTCTAATTATTCTTCGATTGGAGAAATGTGATACTAGTCGTGTTTTCCTGAACTCAGATTTTGTTGGCCCTTAATTTTTCTGGTCCGTGTTCGTTTTTTTCATTTATTATTATACTAAAGTTCGATAGCTTTCCCTAAACTCTAACACACGATCCTAAAATCACAATTTCAATTTAGAATGAACTATGATCGTTTTTCTCCTGGACTCTTCAATTACTATCAGGTAATTTCAGAAATCATTGCGTATTTTTGATTGAACTTCAATGCGAGAAAAAAAACCTACAGAGAAGTAAGTTTAATCATCAATGTACATAATTTATCTCTGTTCAATTACTTTTTGGCATTTTTTTACCAACTGATCGATTATTGAACATTGTCTGTCGATATTTCACGAGGATCTATAGTCGACCCGATCTTTGAGTACTTTTTTTTATAATTTGAATCAACGTGAATATTGACGCTATACTGATGCACGGAATAGGAGACAGAGGCTAAAATGGTACGAATAGAAAACATACGAGTAAAAGTACGACACAACTTCATTCTACAAAACATAAAGAAAACTTTTGAAATGACCTGATATATGTATACCGTGGCCGTTTAATACATGGAGCGCCATCTTGGTTGTGGTTGACCGATAGTAACCTTTCCGTTCAGGCCACGTCGGTCACCGATGATCGACATAGCACTTTTCCGTTCAGGTCGCGTCAGTCATTCATGACCGACATAGACTATCCCTCACAAATTGTTTTTCCTTTTCTTAATAACATTTCCTGCAAAACTTTCTAATACTTGATGCTTAACCCTTTGGTCCTCTTTTGTCAAGTGTAATTCTACATCAATTTTATTTACAGGTACTCCCATATCGAGTCACAATTACTATACACTTTACACAACAAGCACACCTACAATAAATGTAAAAACCCGATGCATGAGGTCGACACAAATAAAGTATACTTAAAATAAAAATAAGAATGAAAATTATTAACATGTTAATCGCGTTATCAGTCGCCCACCGATCGACGCTTAACAGGTGATGCGTTAATGCTATCACACGTGGATATCATCTCTTCGTCGCTTGGATTTGAGGTTCTAAATCCGTTCGCGATGCACTCGTATCGTCGTTTAAAAATAATTCGCCGGATCGAAACGAGGCGGACCACGCAGTGCCGCGCATTCGTTGTGTACTTTCTCTAATTGTTATGATTGCGTTGCGCCCAGTTCAGAAAACTTAACAGGTGGTTAATTTCAAGTCGACAGAGTATTCGAGAAACGAGCCAATCTATTCTTGGAGCTTGTACTGCCTTGTAATTATTGTTCGAGATGAAAAAGATCATTTGCTCGCGAACGATTTCATAGTTAGAGGTACTTGTTTCCTGGCGTCTCATACTAGAGCTATATTTAACAGATACCAATGAAATATTTGTGAACGTATACTGTATTCTCTACCAACCAGTCGCTGGGTGTTTCAATTTCATTTGTGATTTCACGTTGCGTGGGTGACCGATCATCTGGTCTGAAGCTTAAAATTAATAATTATTTTAAAATGCTAATTCGAATAGGCCTGCTTAAGATCCATGACATACTAGAAACGTGGGACAATAGGAACTCTTGTTGGATTATACAATTTTCGTGTTGTTCATGATAATGTGCTATGCTCGTGGAAATACTACAGGTGCTAATCTGACAGTCAGTGTCAGTCCACTTCCTATTGCATTACAGAGTGATTTATGCGTTTTAGGATTAACAAACAAAATTGATATCGTACAGAATATTCTTTATTTAATCTGTTTTCAGAAAATAATGATCTTCGTGTTAAGTGAATTACGTTTTATTTTAACGCAAAGTCGCGTGATGTTTCGACCCCGAGTCTGACTCATAGCGGCCGCTTATGTACAAGAATGCCATTGTGGCTTCTTAAGTAACACGTCTGCTTAGTAAAAACAGTGGGCATCGTATCCCCGGATGGTTCACAGTCGGAAACCTCGGCAAACGTTTCCCAGTATGCCTGTGTGAACTCGATCGCGCATTCTTCAGCTGGTCCAAATTGGTTCTGGCACTGTGCGTAACATCTGCCGTTTGGCTTACATCATATTTCACCGTTTTGCAAAGGTCGCCGTTATGCTTCTCGTATTCCGGAGGCATCAATGAATCGTTTTTTCCTACGTGTAATCTCTGCCCACCACGATCCCTTTCCCCTTTCAGCTCTTCCTACTACACCGAACAAGATCGTCGTTTCTCGGGATTATGGATATCACGTCGCAATTTGACTACATTCGTAGATATTTATTGATGCTGCATGTCTTGATACTTGCTACATTTTTTATGAAAATTATGGAACATGGAGATATGTTAACACTTTAACTGTGAAAAGTGTAATTATAGAATTTACAGATACATTAACCCTTTGACTGTAAAAGGAGTAATTGTGGAATTTTCAAATACATTGTCCATTATTGACAAAAGGCTTATATATACGCTCTCACACATCCATTAAATATGTACGAAAGGCGTATGTGTACGTTCAGTAAATTTTGCTCAGTACAACACATTTACTATTTTACTGAGTTTAAACAGTGTTTTACTAGTTGATGTGTCGAGTGTGCCGCAGTCAAACTGTTAAAAGTAGTAAAGTAGTATGTTCTATCATGACTATTATTTACAATAGTGGACAATTTCTTATTCTTCTGTCAACACTTCATCATTTGAACCCATACAAATATGTCTTTTTTTAGGTTTATGGTAAACTGCTGATTTCGTTTTAATATGGACTTACAGTATGTTATCTATATTAAATCTTGCTCCCCTTGTTTACAAAATGACTAAAAGGTTCTGAACACTAAATTTTAATGCAGATCGGTTTTCACCATTACTTAGGAGAAACCTAAGTCTTTATGTGAAATTACTGGACGATTACGATGAATTACATACTCAGGTAGATGAAACAGGATAATTATGTACATCGTAAAAATTTACAAAGATTACAGAACACGGTTTTCACATCGCTCGTGGCTGGAGAGTGAAAAGTTTTGAACTAATAAAGTTCTGGGAAACAGATCAGTGCTTGCTCAAACGGAATTCTTCGGAATCGAAGGAACGCTTGCTAAGGCAATACACAAAAATGTAGGCGAAAGAACGTGAAACTGAAGATTGAAATGAAATTTGTAGGAGGACATGGTGTGTCTGTCCTGCACCGCAACTGGTGAAAGGGTTTGCCTCGCAGCCGAGGGTTTCGGTAACAGACACTGCTTCCTCGAGAACATCGCAGACAAGGTAATCGCTCTTACTGGTTTCAATTGATACAAAGGGACGAAATGTTTAACTTTCCAGCAACAAGAAGGCTTTCGATCTTCAGAGGTCGCTAATTAAATTCAATCCGTAATTCCTTCGGAATTAGATCCTGATGAAACTCTAAACAAGTTTATTGAAACTGACTGTGAATTTTGAAACTACTCTGCTTAATCAAATCGGTGCATGTTCATGTCAGAGATGGATAAAGTGTACTTTAAAAAGTGATACAACAATGAATGCCTTGCCAACTCGTAATATTATTTATAGTCAAATGCTAAACATTTTAGTATATTGTATTCGTTAATTGTGTAATTACAGGACATTTATATTCGCTTTCATTGTCGAATAAAGAGCACACACGTGTTTTGTAATCATTTAAAAAATAGATATCGAATAGATATACCATTAACATAGCAACTGTAGGCTGAATACTCTAGTTCTAGTTCGAATTACGTTGTCAATTAAACACGTTAATGCTTCGTGTACTACTTCTACAGAACCAAGTAAAAGCTATATGTACTTGCATATTTACCACCTGTTGGCGGATGTTTGCTAGACGTACAAGTATCTAACCGTTACACAATATGAACTATTACATTATCCGTCAATTTATATGAATATTGAGTACAATGAAAGTTAAAGAATAACTGTTAATGAATTATGTATTATAATTGGGCGTTACAGTGATATTCTGTAGAAAACATAAATACTTTCCGTTCAGTCCACTGTTTCAACTGCAGATTCATTCGTGAGCATCCATCTCTGGCTGAAGAAATTAATTCATCGGTTGAAAAATGACTAAAATTTTAATATTTCCTTTTTGCTATGGTGATAGAATATATGATTTGTTATGGTTACAAAATATATGGTTTGTTATGGTTATAGAATATACCACCGGACCTGTCGCAATGCGTGTTCGTAATAGAACAAGCTCTCTCGGTGAGAGCGTTGCAGGAATTGGTTACCGCTGCCGGTTCCGAGACGGTAACGTACCACTTCTTTATCACGTCAACACCCTTTAACGAAGAATCTCATATATACATGACCGTCGTTTATCAGGAAATTCTGCGGACCGACCTTCCGCGGTTCTCCATTTTGTAGTTCTAGCAAAATCATCCCGGGCCACTGCGTTATTTTTCCTGTGCAGACGTTCGTGTTCTATTCTTTTTTTCACTGTACAATTTTGCTCCATCGCGGACCAACACGACGCAAGAAGAGAATCTCTCAGTGCGTGTTTGTTTTACTTTGTATTTTTTTTCTTTTTTGCCACGACCACATTTTGTATGCTAATCACGCGACCGAAAACGATTGTCCTCCGCATCGTGAAATTGATGTCGTTTTCGGGAAAGCAGAAAAGTGAAGGAACAGCCACCGTAAAGGTAGAGATCATCTGCATAGGAGTGGGCCATAAAAGTCTGTGTAATGAGTACACGTCGAATGCAGGAGAGATTAATCAACAAACGCCGCTGACCACTTCGTTTTTTTTTTTCATGTGCGATTTTGTCCACTAATTTGAAACGGAACGATGCACTTAGAAAGTAGACGGACCCGCGTACGAAAAATATATTGTGTACATATTTTTGTGCTTTTTCACGAACGAGGCAGGAACGATTTTCTGAATGCATCAGCACGCACAAAACCCACCTCGCCCGCCCTTTGTCCAATAATTGTGGCATGCAAGTCCATGTAGCAACGTGTAACCCAAACAGTCACGAATTTGTCTCTCATTCGCTCGTATTGTCTTTGTCCGCCCACCCTCGTATCTTGTCCAATTTTTTGTTTATTACGCCGCTCGTAAGCGTGTACGCAAACCCTCACCTAAGCAAATACGATGAATCATCCATACGATTCTGTTACCTATCGAAAGGCAATTGTAGGCGTGTTTTCTTTACAATTCTCCGTCCACACGTTCACCACATTCACGATTGCCAATGAACGAGATTCACAACTCTTATGTTTCTCTTTGCAGCAGCAAGAAAAATTAGTAAGTATACCTTCCGTATCACTTCAGGTCACCGTTTCTCTGTTCTCGCTTGGGTATAACAATCATTTATTTGCTTGCGTTCTTCATGGCAATTTCACGCTGTTTCGGTTCTTTCACATTTTTCCTCTTTCGTTTTGTATTCTTTCTGAATAGTTTGCAAACATTCGATACCATCTTTTTTCTGTTCAGTTCAATTGTGGTGTTCTTGCGCTTTTTCTGTTAACGCTATTATTCTTGTCGCATTTATGTTCACGTTCTTGTGTGTAGATATATTTGGTAACAAAAGTATTCGAACACCCGTTACAATAAAACAACTTTTTTAAAATTGGTTTTAAAATGTCCCTAACTTCACAAAAGAACTCAAGTCATTTGGACCAATTTTAAAAAAGTTGTTCTGTTTTAAAGGGTGTTCGAATACTTTTGTTACCCACTGTATACGCGTACACATGACTACGTTACTTTTACGTTCGTTCGAATCGTGTGCAGATCATTTTAACGTGTTTCTCGCTTTAATATTTATTCGTCAGCGATCGTTATTTATGGCCTTCTCTTATCAGTACGCTTGTTTCATTTTATTTTTTTATTATTTTCTTCTTCTTCTTCTTCTTCTTCTTCTT